CTTTAGTGTCGGTTATCAAAGTTCTTGCGAAGAGCAGTTCTTCGTTGATTTCTTGATTCATAATAAAACGAACATATGCCAATAATAATGCTGCATTATCAGGTAAAGTTGACTCGTCCAGTTGTATAGAGAAATGGGTCGTTTGCAAATAATTACATAAGAAGCTTTCAATATCAGAACTCATTTCATCAATACGTCTTTCAACAGTATTGTTCCATCATCATTTCTTTGTGACGTCGAAGCGAACATTCTGTCCAATGTAGGTCTCTTCTGAAATTTATCTTTGAGTGTTTGAACGTATTATCAGGGTGGCATCTTCTCAGATTATCTTGCAGTTTAGATGGTTTCATAGCGTCATTGCCCAAAACTTTGTTGCATAAAAGGCACATAGGCGATTGTTTGTCCGGCAATGATGGAGTGAAGCCAAATTTCAAATAATGAACACTGTACTGTCTACATTTCTTTTTAGATTCGGACATGGCATCAGTCATCTGTGGGCAAAATTAAATTATTTAAATAAGACAGAAAATCCAGCAGCTGTATATTAAAAATATTTTTTGATTTTTCCGAAAACATTCCATAATTCGAACATCTTGCAACAATTAGCTCGAATTACGGAGATTGCACTGTAATTATATTTCCGATTGCTAAAACTTTCAAAAAGAAACTATTGAGGAGTACTCGTGTAATTTTGCATGATTGAATATTTAACTACTAATAACTAAAGTCATGATTGGCGTAATTTATCTATCTTTGCTAACTACGAGTACAAAACTAAAATTTAATAAAAAATAATGTACTTACTTTTCTCCAGCACTCTCAAACAAAATAACACTGACTCACTATAATTTGCGTGATATACTATCTGTTTATATTTTTTAAAATATTTTCTTAGCACTTTCCTTTTCAAGATTCAGGAAACGAATAAACGTATTTGTCCCACATTCGAATTTATAGAGTGACGAATTGAACAAGCCAGTGCAAGGTAGCGAAGCTCTGAGACTGCGACTCTCAGGTTTTTACAAGTTCAAAATGTATTGCGACCACAAAGCGAATACCAACATCCTACAACTTACACAATTTTATGAACATATATAATAAATTTTTTACTTCATAAATAATGTATATGTTTTGATATTATAAGATAGTATGATGTAAGTAAATAGGTACTATCAGTGTATGTGTTGAGATCCACTATCGTGGACCTCCATATTCATTTCATGGACCCCCAAATTTTTTTTCGCTGACGTAGACCCCTTGCAGGTTGTCATAGACCCCTAGGGGTCGATATAGACCAGGAGTGGCAATCTCGATTATGCTGTTTGGAACTCCTATATACAGGGTGGCGCATCGAAAACGAAACAGACGCATTTACTGGCAGCTCAGTTTTTTTTTGGAAAAACGCTCAGACCCGTCGATTTTGTGGGACACAAGTTTGGCAAAAAATCACGTTAGCACGTGCAGTCCCCTGGGCGGGGGTGACACCAACCCTAAAATCTTAAATGGAAAGGGGGGTCGAGTGATACCTTATTTTAAAGGTCTTTCAAATTTCTTCTCAAAGTAGTACAAACTAATCTGATGTACCTATTAAAGTCTACTTTAAGCATTAAACCAATAAATCTTCAAAACTACTGAACTGAACCTCATGTATTTTACATCTTCACCTTTAAAATAAGGTATCACTCGACCCCCTTTCCATTTAATATTTTAGGGTTGCTGTCACCCCCGCCCAGGGGGCTGCACGTGTTAACGTGATTTTTTGCCAAACTTGTGTCCCCTTCGATAACAAAATCGACGGGTCTGAGCGAAAAAATGAGCTACAAGTAAATGCGTCTGTTTCGTTTTCGATGCGCCATCTTGTATAACAAGGACTTGAGGAAAAATAAATATAGACTTCTAATACCGAGAGGCCAGCGAAAAATAGTGTTGCGCGTGGTCACAACAGTGTCGAACTATGTTCTGCATGTCGTAGCTGGTATCCCGTCATTTGATTTGCAGGCTGAGACAGGCGCTCTATAAAAAGGACCTCGTATCTACAAGCGACGGAAGAGAAGCGCCTTTTGTCAGATGACAGGAGAGTTGGGATGCAACTGGCCATGGCGCATGGACAGAAAGTCTGATCTCAGATATTAAAACTTGGATCGACATGGTTGTTTTGACAGCTACCTGAGAAGGGTGGCTGTAATGAGTACGCAAACTGCGTATATTGCAACGAAGTGTAGGAACCCCCTAATCATCTGTTCGAACGTGGTAGATAAGTTGACTACCAATGACAGCTAGAATTAACGCTCACTGCTGACAATTTTGCCAGGGCAAATAGGTTGATATCGCTGAGTTCGACTTTCTCTATACAGGGTGTTTCAGTTTATTGTTGAATAACTTTAAGCTTCGATAGAATTTTTAAAATTAATGCATAAAGTCTATATAAACATGGGTCAAAAAATGCGTGGCTTCCGAAATAGAGGGTGTTTAAATTTACTTTCTAAAATAGTTTTTTTTAATATTCCGAACAACATTTGGTGTATAACAGTGAAAATTGGTATACAAGTGTTTTTTGGTACGACAAAGCGAACCATGGGCATAGTTTTACTGAAGTCGCTAGAGGACGCTCTCTACTGTACCCGTAGTGTATTAAAATGACCGAAAAACATTTGTTAGTACAATTTTTTGCGTTTTGAATGAAAAAACTGATTTTTCGCACTTTTCAACATAAAAAAGCTCTCTTGTGAATTTTCGTTGTAGTTAACCGTTTTTGAGATATTTCGATTTTTAAGATGCATTTTTTATTATTTATGATAAAATAACGTTAAAAAGTCAGTATCTCGATAATTTTGAGAAGTAGGCTGTGCCTGCAAATATTTTTAAAACTGAAAGCAGAACAAGGTTAAACGTCAATTAGTTGACAGTTAGTTTTGTTGTCTGTTGAAACCTGAAACGTTTTTTTGCAATTGTGAATGCACGAAATTTAGTTTCTTTTACCTGTTTTTTTTTTGTAAGTTTTATAAAAATGCCATTTTTATTCTCCAATCAAGAGTTAGCGGATATTCATTTTGTGTATGGCTTTGTAAATGGAAACGCAGCAGAAGCAGCCAGAGAATACGCACGAAGATTTCCAATGGTTTTGGAAATCTCCAAAGGGATCAAAACATAAATGATTTACCCGTATGATTCTGCGTGAGTTTGATAGAGATCCGACCACAAGTGTTAGGAGAGTTTCTGGTGCCTTGGGAACTTCAGCAAGCCATGTTCACCGTGTTCTTATAAATGACCGTAGACGTCCTTACCATTTGCAATCTGTGCAAGAACTACAGCCATGAGATGGAGAACGAAGAATCACATTTTGTCAGTGGATTCTTGATAGAACTGATAATAATAGGGAGTTTTTAAGTAACGTTTTATGGACCGATGAGTCATGCTTCACTAGACGTTGTCCAGCTCATTATTCGCGAATAGTTGGAAACTGGCTGGACGAAAATTATCCAGAAAGATGGATCGGCCGTGGAGGACCAGTCGACTGGCCTCCACGATCCCCTGACCTAAATCCATTAGATTTCTTTGTGTGGGGATTTCTAAAAGAAAAAGTGTACCAGACTCCCGTAACCACAAGAGATATACTAATAGACAGAATCAGGGATGCATGTGATGGATTATTCGATCATTCGTAGATGTGAATTGTGTATTGAACAATTGGGTTTACATTTCGAGCAACTACTTTAGATTTTGTATGTTTGTCCTAACTATCCAATAGCATTTTAGTTGTAAATAATTAATTTAATTTGTTAAAAATAATATTGGTAAATTAAACAAATTAATATTCTGTTTTTTTGTGTTTATTTGGAGTTAGGAATTATTGCTGTGTTTAAAAACACAATCTAAACGATCATCTTAATTACTTGTAATGCCCAAATCGAAAATTTAAAAAAAAATATTATTTTCCCATAAATAATTAAAAATGCATCGAACCTTAAAAATCGAAATATGTCAAAAACGGCTTACTATAACGAAAACTCACAAGAAAGCTTTTTTATGCAGAAAAGTGCAAAATCTCAGTTTTTTTATTCGAAAAGCAAAAAATTGCACTAAGAAAAAATTTTTCGGTCATTTTAATACACTACAGGTACAGTAGAGAGCGCCCTCTAGCGGATACAGTAAAACTATGCCCATGGTTCGTTTTGTCGTACCAAAAAACCCTTGTATACCAATTTTTACTCTTATACATCAAATATTGTTCGAAATATTTAAAAAAAACTATTTTAGAATGTAAATTTCGGAAGCCACGCATTTTTCGACCCATGTTTATATAGACTTTATGCATTAATTTTAAAAGTTCTATCGAATCTTAAAGTTATGCAACAATAAACTGAAACACCCTGGATAATGTACTTCCACTGTAAATGAAACCATTTAAGTGGTCATTTTGTTTTGAATACTGATGTGTAAGGTGTATTTTTTGCATGGGTTTGTATCAGTTGTTTGTTGTAATCATGTTACTATATGCTTCCGCTGTCTATGTATTCGATCAGAGCTGGTATAAATAAATAAAATAAACTTCGTCAATTAAACGAGCATTTCACGGAAACATCGCCAAACCATTAACGATCCACTTTTTCACCCACGATCACGAAATCGACAACGCTGCTCTTGGTTCGCTGAACCTGAACGTACTGGTACCCCCGAAAAAACCCCATCGAATCCATCGGGGCTCGAAAAAAACCCGCGACAGACCGACGTGCCTTGTAGAAACTGGATCTTTACGGCGTTTTCTATCCTCCAAAGTTTAGGACGCTGTGTGGTCCGCGGCCAATAATGGCTCAAGACACCAGCGAAAAAATAACGATCCTCCTGACGATCGAAAAACGTTTTCGGTAAACCAAAATCACTTGTTTCGATTACCCTTTTCGAGATGGCCAAACAAGCCGAGACAGCGATGGATATCGACGGATATCTCGCATGTTTTTATGTCCAATGCCACAACATATATTTGATTTTTTTTAATGCAGTAGACCTGGTTCAATCAGCCGTATTCATAAAAGAGAAGCATATCCTCGCAAGTATATATGTATATTGCTTTGGAGAAAAAGGTAGAAGTATAAGCATATCCTTGTTTTCATATTCATAATGATTACCTTATACTAGCGAGCATATTCTCCAAGAAGAAGTAAAAGGTTGACTGGTATTTGGATCTTGAGCGACATGTGTTGACTTGTTCCAGCTTGTAGTTGACGTGGGAGTTCGTTCAATTAGCATCATTGACAGTTGTACTCTAGAGCTTACACAGTCATCCTCAAGTGATGAGGAAAGTATAGAAAATAATGGCAACGACCTGCAGTTCATCGCAGATGAAATTGCCATTGCTCCCATTGTTTTGCAAAAGTCACGAGAAGATGAGAAAGGACGATGCCTTGAAGAAGATGTTGAAAATACGAATCAACATTAGCTACTAAGGCTTATTAAAAAAACATCAACAACATGAAATTAAGATTGAAGAAAAAACAGATTTAAAAAAACTGGTAATAAAGCAATTAAATTGTTAGATTGGGAAAGAAAGTTTCTGAAAGCTATGGAAGGTGTATGAGTACAATACAAGCAATAACACTGATCAACAGCCAAAAAATATCCTAAATAAAATCAACAAAATATTACTATTTTCAATGTGCTAAAACCGGAATGAAACTTATTTTTTCAATATTAGTTCAAGATTTAGAGATACGGTAATTATATGTGTTCCTGCTGTGACAGTGTTAATATACTGTAATTCACAAGAATGCACGTGCTACATTTTTATATTCGGCAAGGAAAGATGATGTAATCGGCATGATTGTGTTACGTTGTACATACGTGTACATTATATTGTTTTATATTAGCCATTTTTTCCTCAGTTGGCTGACAGCGTTCATGCAAGATGTCTCGAAAGTGTGTAAACAATCCAGATCAGTTTTGTTACGTGTGTGGTGATGTGACTTTTGCGTCTCAGAGACGGTCTATTACTCCACTAATAACAAAGGCATATCAGCTTTATTTCGGTTGTAAACTAGGTGATCAAGACAAACAGTGGGCACCCCACATCTGCTGTAATACATGTGCTTCAAGTCTGAGGAGCTGGTTAAATGGCAAAAAACGGTCTATGCGCTTTGCTTTCCCAATGGTTTGGAGAGAGCCTACAAATCATATTAATGATTGTTACTTTTGCATGGTACCTTGTGTTGGACAAGCCACAGGTATGTCCAAGAAAAAAAAATCGGTTATTAACTACCCAAACGTACCATCTGCGATGAGACCTGTGCCTCACAGTGACGAAAATCCTATTCCAAAACCCCCAGAATCCTACACTTGCGAATCAGAAAACGAATCAGATCATGGCGATCGAGTGATTCGTCAGGAAGAAGATATGCCATCAACGTCAAGAGATCCTGATTTTATACCGAGCACGTCATGCCACCAACCGCACAAAATAACACAGTCAGAATTATATGATCTTGTAAGAGATTTAGAATTTCCAAAATGTAAGGCAGAGTTACTTGGATCAAGACTGCAGCAGTGGAACTTGTTAGAAGACGATGTTTCGGTATGTGTTTTTCGTAAACGCCACAAAGACTTAGAACCATTTTTCAATATGGAGAATAACTTGGTTTTCTGCAGTAACATTAACGGCTTACTGACGGCTTTAAATATAAACTATAACCCAGAAGAATGGAGATTGTTTATAGATAGTTCAACATTGAGTTTAAAGGCAGTGTTATTGCATATTGGAAATATTTTACCATCTCTTCCTGTAGGGTATGCAGTTCACATGAAAGAATCATATGACAATATGAAGTACCTATTGACATGCATAAAATACGGTGAGCACCAATGGCATAATTGTGGCGATTTGAAAGTTGTTGCACTTTTACTTGGGCTGCAGCTAGGCTACACAAAGTTTTGCTGTTTTTTGTGTGAATGGGACAGTCGGGCAAAGGCACTTCATTACACCAGACAAAACTGGCCTGTTCGTCAATTCCTAGAGCCAGGTCAAAAAAATGTACAGCATATGCCATTAGTAGATTCGAAAAAAATTTTATTACCACCACTGCATATCAAGTTGGGCCTAATGAAAAACTTTGTCAAGGCATTAGATAGAGCTGGGTCAGCTTTTCAATACCTGCGTCAGAAATTTCCCAGACTAAGTGAGGCAAAGGTTAAAGAAGGTATTTTTGTTGGGCCACAGATTCGAAATATTTTGAAAGATACACAGTTTAAAAACACTGTAACAGGTATTGAAAAAACTGCTTGGAATGATTTCCGTCTGGTGGTCACTAATTTCTTGGGTAATAGAAAAGCTGACAACTATAAAACCCTTGTCAAAAATATGCTGTCATCGTATCAAAAGATGGGCTGTAATATGTCTCTTAAGATACATTTCCTACACTCACACCTGGACTTTTTTCCTGACAATTACGGAGCCGTAAGTGCTGAGCACGGCGAACGTTTTCATCAGGATATTTTAACAATGGAAAAAAGGTACCAGGGAAAGTGGAATCCTTCCATGCTTGCAGACTACTGTTGGACTCTTGGTAGAGATGCTCCAGAAACGATCCATAAAAGAACAGCAAAAAGGCAGCGCATATAGTGATTCTTATAAGTATATGAATCTTGTTACTTTTTTTAATATATCCTTAAAAATAAAGTTTTTTTTTCTAAACCGCAACTAATTTTTTTATTTCATTGTCATTTTTAGATTCAGCGTCCCAAAATTAACAAATAAGTGCACTTTTTCCACAAGATACAATTAAAAAACTAAAATTTGTTGTCCAGTGTAATTATTTTCGGCACATTTTCCAACTTTACCCGGCAAACCTACTATAGGATAGGAAACCGGCATTTCAGTTGGCCGAAACAGCGTTCAATTATAACTCTTTCTTGTTATAAAAGCCTATTATAATTTATTTCTGCACCTGGAGTATTATTTCTGAAGGGAGTCATAAGGCATGGCTCAATTCCATAAAAAATTTATATTTTTCTACTAAACACCGCACGAACTTATTTGATTACCATAACGTGGAATGATAGAGAAATCTTTTTGACCCGCACCTCTGCTCCTGCTCTCTGGGTTCACCGACTGGCGTTCCGGCGTCTTGCCATTACTGCCGCGTCATGCGGACAGTGTGCGTCAGGGGCGATTCTACATTCTGTTCCAAATCAGAATGCTTTTTCCGAGCAGACGCCATAATACTACATACAAGCCTCAATCACAATCTGCTAATGGCGATGTCTGTGACACTACTGATATCGACAGATAACAAATCCTTATTCAGGTAATCTGAAAAATGAAATTTCGTATGAATTTGATACACAAAAGCTATTGATTCGTATCGCAAAATGGTTAAAATGAAGAAATGCTACACCATTGGATTCTGAGATCGGTAATTAAAGCTAAATATCAGCTTTGCTGTAAACCACAACATCGACGTTGTTATTGACCATGGAATATATTTCTTTAATTCATCCAAAATGATATAAAATTATATTTCATATAAATATAGCCTACGTCGGTGGTCGACGAACGCCAGTCGTTTGCAGCGTGTGTTACGGTTTTTTGTTGATATATGTTTATCAAAACTGAGGTATTTCGAAAACATCAATTTCTTCGGAGTCGAGACGAAAATTAAAAAAATCGTTTTGTGGAATTGTATCAAGAATTATAGGGCGATATAAATGGAAGGAAACGTGAAATATAGGATTTTACCCTAAATACCTGTGTAGCTGGAAGTGGGAACAGTGGAAAGTTTCATAAATAAAATAAATAATAAGTAAATAGCGTTTATTGCCTATTAGTTAAGGAAACCATTTACAGGACAATCCTAAGAAAAATACATCACACTTACAAACATAAAAAAGATACAAAGAATAGGTGATTTTATCTAAAGCAGAAAACGAACAACAAGAAGGAGCAAAAATCATATTTCACTTAAGTGAGAAACATATCAGAAATTGTTGTAATTCCTAGCTACTCCCAGCATACTGCTTAAACTGTCAGCCTGTATATCACAATAATTAGATATGGCATTGAAAGTTTCACACATTACATACATGGTTACTTTCAAAAATAAATGTGTGCCTGCCCTGTCAGGATAAAAGGTTTTAACGATACGGGATCGAATAGCTGGGACATCAAACTTTGGTTGAACTACAATCTAATCAGCACCAATTCGATTGTCCAGCAGTTAATGCAAGAAAGTAATCGACGCACACTTCCTTCTCACTACATTTGAAACCCTGACAATAGCAACGTCTGTTGTATATTTCCACCTCAAATATTAAGTGGTATATTGAGGTCATCGAGTCTTCATCCTACAAAAGAAAATAGCCAGACTTTTATTCGCATTGCATCCTCTAGAGTCTTGTCGACAAACATTTAGAGATGAAAAGAATAGTAACTTTAGCATCATTACTGCTCCTAAAGGCGTGCCTTCATGTGAAATCATATCCTTCCAAAGTCATTTACCTAACAGAGTCCCAGAGATACAATCTAAGGGATAATAACGTTACAATCAGCAACTGTAGTCTCAGCACATACCGTAGAATTCTGACTACCTGTGGATCTATCTTCAATAATCTGCCCTTCGAGTTAAAGCCATCAACGATTCAAAAGTTTTCAAAAAACATCTTTTAACATACTTACCCTAAGTGTTTTTACTCTCTACAAGAGTTTTATAATTTTCAATCATTGATTTTATTGATTATATTTTACTTATTATACATTTATGCTGCATACGTTTTCTATTGTTCTATGTAACTATTTATACATACTGTTTTGCTACTTATTTTATAGATTGTTATCCTCTATTTTATTGTACTCGTAGTTTAGTTACGTATATTTTTTCTTCTTGCTGATGTAAATCTGTCCTTTTCCTGTTGACGTTTCATATCCGCAAAGCAATTTAAATGAAAATGAAAAGAAAAAACAAAGGGAGTGTCACCTGGAAGAAATAAATAAAATATTGTCAAAATATGGAGCCGTATTCATAAAACAAAGGATATCCTTGTATTTGCAAATTTTGAAGGAAATCCT